TACTGCTAGAAAGAACAGGTTCATCCTAGAGTGGGTGAGACCAGGCTGCTCTTTGGAGGCATGGAATCTGAAGCTTCATCTGACATTTTCTGGACATGTTGCAAGAAAGACCAATCCTTGGAAAGGAACGTCAGGCTTGGAAGGGTGGAGAGACAGGACAAGAGAGGAAGACCCTTGCTGAGATGGATTGATTCAGTGACGGTAATGATGAGTGTAGGTGTGTCAGAGACTATGAGATTGGCACAGGATAGAGCAAGGCTTAGGGTTGGGGCGCGCGCGCGTGTGTATATTGCAATCCCGAAGGCATGCGGTTCGAGGCCACCAACTGCTCTCTGTGGTAGAAGGATGGATGGGAAATCTCTTCTCATACAATTAATTGACTCTGAAAACCTACCAGAGGGTTATCTATAGATCAGTTCTGATTAGACAATACACAACCATACCCCACACAAGTGCATATTATTAGATAAATGAAACTGAGAAAATATTATAAGTGAAAACAACTAATTCAAAGAGCATATATAATATGATTCTATTTATGTTGACTATATACAGATGTTTTACATATTCTATAAAAATTATAATAATCCAGTGCTATAATTACTTCAAACAATATTGACTTGTAGAGAGTTTAAGGGGGGGGGAATACACAACATTTTTCTACTGGCACATGTATTTAACATTTACCTCTTTCTTTGAGGGACCTCTGGTGGAAGAGTCTATCGTCTGTAGGGAGTTGTGGTGCTTACTCAAAGGCTGTACTTTTCTGGTGTTTTGAATCCACCAGCAGCTCTGTGAGAGAAAGATGGACAATCTCCTCTCGTGTAACGTAAGCCTCAGAAACCCTGTGGAGACTCAGTTCTGACTCAGTGGTAGTGAGTGTGCTTTTCCTATCTGTGAATTCAAGTTAATCCTTGGTGTAGTATCTTTCAACCTGAAAGACTTTCTTTAGTATTTCCTGTAAGGCAGGTGTCCTAGCAATGTTGTTGTTGTTGTTGTTGTTATGTGCCATCGAGTCGCTTGCGACTCATAGTGTACAAGAGCCCTAAACCCCATTCTAACCTGTGCCAACCTCGCCGTCTCAAGCACACTCATTCCCACCACTCCAGTCACAGAATCGATCCATCTCATCAAGGGTCTTCCTCTCCTGTGCCACCCCTCCACTCTCCCAAACATAATGTTCCTCTCCAAGGACCAGTCCTTCCTTGCAACATGCCCAAAGCACATCAGACGAAGGTTCAGAATCCTTGAATCCAAGGAGCATTCTGGCTTCACCTTCTCCAGGACAAACCTATTTGTTCTCCTAGCAGTCCATGGTATAGTCAACACTTTTCTCCAGCACCACAACTGAAAGGCATCAATTATCCTTCTAGCATCCCTATTCACTGTCCAACTCTCTGATGCATAATACGTAATTGTGAAGACTGTAGCCTGGATCAGGTGCACCTTAGTCTCCAGCCTGACATCGTTGCTCTTCAGTACTCTTGAGAGGTCCCTCACAGCTGACTTTCCCCTAATCTTTGTTTATCTATAAATATTATTATATTATTATCTATAAATATACATTAATATTATTTAATTGTTTTTGAAGGATAATTTTGATGTATGAAGAAATTTTGTGTTTAGCATTTCCCGCCTCCCAGTGCTTGAAAATGTTATTCCACTGTCTTCTGCTCTCCATTGTTTATTATGAGAAGTCAGCCATTAATTGTATTAGTGGCCTTCTGTTCCTATTATTCTTTTTATACAGATATTCTTTTCTTGTGATTTTAATGAAAGTTTACAGAAAACTTGGATTTCCATTCATTCATTGTTGCATTGTTCTACATATTCTACAAAAATTATAATAATTCAGTGCTGTAATTGCCTCAGACAATATTGACTTGTAAAGAGTTTAATGGACAAAACACACAACTTTTTCATCAAGTTGTGTATGACTTAAAGTGACCCTATGAACAACAGATGTGTATCCTGTTCTGTCCTGTGCCATCCTCATCATCTCTGATACACTTGAGCCCATTGTTGCAATCACTGTGGTAATCCACTTCGTTGAAGTTCTTCCTCTCTTTTACCGACTCTCCACCTTTCTAAGCATGATGTTCCTCTCCAAGGAATAGCCTCTCTTAGCAACATGCCCAACATATGTGAGATGGAGTGTGTCATCATTGTCTCCAAGGAGCACTCCTGTACATCCTCCAAGACCTATCTATTTGTTCTTATAGCAGTGCATGGGCTCTTCAGTGCTTTTCTCCAAACCCACCGCTAAGTCATCAATTCTTCTCAGATGAACAGGAAGTGACTGAAAGACTATTCCTGAATCAGGCACATTTTAGTCTTCAAAGTGATATTCCTCTTCAAGAAATGTAGAGAGGTCTGTGACAGCAGACTTACCCTAAGCCAGAATGTTTCCTGATCTCTGACTGCTGGTACCAAGAGTGTTGATTGTGGATCAAAGTAAGATGAAATGGCTGAAAACTTCAATCTTTTCTCCATCTATCATGATGTTGTTTATTGGTGCAGTGGTGAAGATTTTTTTTTCTCTTGATGTTGAGATGCAATTTATATTGCATTCTTTGATCCTCTGCTTTTCAAATCCTCTTCATTTTTATCAAGTAACTTGTGTTAACTGCATAACACAGGTTCTTGATGAGTCTGCCTCCAAACCTGATGCCATATTCTTCTTCATAGACTCCAGCTTCTCAAATGATTTGCCCAGCATACAGATTGAATAGGAATGAAGAAGGATATAATCATGATGTACATTTGCCCTGATTTTAAACCATGCACTATTCCCTTACTCTGTTCATACAACATCATCTTGGTCTAGAGTTGGTTTCATATAAACATAATTAAATGCTCGGGGATTCCCATTCTTTTCAATGTTAGCCATATTTTTTTTATGATCCACATACTCAAATGCCTTTTCATAGTCAATCAACATCAGTAAATATATCACTGGGGCACGGCCTCTTCTAAACCTGCTTTAATTTCTGGATGTTCTAGCCATTTTTTTAATGATCTCCAACAATATTTTGCTGGCATGTAATGTTAATGATTTGGGTTGCTAATTTCCACATTCAGTTGGATCACCTTTCTTGCAAATGGCAACAGCTATGGATCTCTTTCAGGCAATTGGCCAAGTAGCTGTCCTCCAAATTTCCTGGCATAAACTGGTGAACCCATCCAGGATTGCATCTTAGTTGAAGCATGTCGACGGATATCATATTGATTCCTGGGGTCTTATTTTTAACCAATGCCTTCTGTGCAGTTTGAATTTCTTTCTTTATCACAGTTGCCTCTTGATCATATGGTACTTCCTAAAACTTTTCCATGTCAGTCAATTCTTTTTGATACAGTGTTTCTGTGTAATCCTTATATTTTCTTTTGAAGTTTCCTGGAGGCAGTTTGAATTCACCACTAGCTCCTTGGGAAAAACATGGGCAATTTCTTCCAGGGTGATTTATAGCCTCTAAAAACCCACTAGAAGGTTAGCTATGAGTTTGTTCCAATACAACAGCATGTAATAAGGATAACAAGTGGTTCTCTTTTTCATGGTTCTTTTAAGTCTATGACTTTAGTTGTTGTTGTTATGTGCTGTCAAGTCACCTGCAACTCATAGCAATATAATACAATACAATACAATACAATACAATACAATACAATACAATACAATACAATACAATACAATACAATACAATACCTTTGAAGCTTGCCCTGTCCTGAGCCAGTCTCACAGACCTATCCTCATTGCCTTAGTTACTCTATCAATCCATCTCATACAGGTTTTTCCACTCCTGGGCTGTCCCTCCACCCTTTCAGCATAATGTTCTTCTGCAAGGATCAGTCTCCGCCGGCTACATGCCCCAAATATATAAGATTGAGCTTCAAAATTCTAGCCTTCAAGAAGAAACTTGGTTTTACCCTATCTAAGATAAAGCTATTACGTTTCTTAGCAATCATTAGTATGTTCAAGACTCTTCTCCAGCATCACAATTCAAAGGCATCAATTCTTGTTCTATCATCCTTCGTCACTATCCAGCTCTCAGATGCATAGCAAATAATTAGCAAAGACCGTGGCCTGGATCAGGCACTCCTTAGTCTCTAGGCTGACATCGTTGCCTCTTGGTACTCTGGAAAGATCTTGGACAGCAGATTTACCTAATGTAATTCACCTATTTTTTCCTCATGATTTGTATTTTATTGGTTGTTTTAAGGGCCAGTACAGAGACATTATGAACAACCTGTACACAATTCTTAATGCACGTACCAAAAATCTAAAAAGTCATGTAGTTATAATTCTTTTCAAAATTCTAGTGACCTTCCAACTGTAAATTTGGAGGAAAGTTTTCATAAAGAAGAAAATAAGTACCAACACCTTCAATTGTTGATAAACAGTCACATCATTAAGTCCCTCTAATTCACAATTTACTATCACACACACTACACATTCAAATTTTCAACCATAACAAAGTTATTAGGAAAATGACTACCAAGACCACATACAGAATCCACATAGTTCTGACAGGGGGAAAGCCATGAAAAGGGAGTGGTTATGTTTAAGAAGAAATTTTACTAAACAATGTTCTTATTTATGTAAAAACATGGAAAATAGACTTAATTTAAAGTGTTCAAGTCACAAATGCATGACTATGACTCCAAATTGTCATTAAGTATACTATGTATTATGGGATATAAAAATTGTCCCCTTTCCCCATGGAATGTTACACTGACATCCAAAGCCTCCCCACCTTCCCACAATTTTAACATCCCACATTTTCTGGTTGTACCAAAAAAATAAGCAGAAAATTATCTCACCTCTTAAAAAAACAAAACAAAAAACATTTACACTTAAAAATGGGATGAAGTGGGATTTCCTTCTTCTTAAAAATGTTTCTAGAGCTACTAAAAAACTTGCATTTACAATAGTTGATAAAAATATTCCTCTGGATTGTACAAGAAAGGAGATACAGCAAACACTGATAAGAGATGGTAGACAAATATTAATCAGAGTTGGCTTCTTTTTCTCCTGCTTCATCAGAGGCTGGACTCTCTTCATTTTTAGTTTCTCTATTTTCTGCAGGTAAATCTTTAGTTTCTTGGTTAGCCACATCTGCCTGTTTTCCCTTTGTTCCCCTTTTCCCTTTTGTTTGCACTTTTTTGTCAGAAGACTTCTCCTTTCCTGCTGCCTTCTTGGGCTTCATTTCCACTTTTGCTGGTGGCTTAGCTGACAGCCTCGCTGATCTCTTGGGCTCCTCCTTCAACGCACCTTTGGCCAAGCTGACCTTCCCCTTGGGCACGCTGGCGGCAGGGAGGGGTCCTGCCCGGGGCCCCGCCTGTGGGCCGCAGGGCACACTGAGCCTTCGCGAAGCTGGGTTGCTCTGGCACTGCCTCTCTGCCTGCCGCCGTGCTGCTGAGCATAATTCACCTTTTGATTTCCTGACTGCTGGTGCCAAAAGTGTTGATTGTGGCGCTGAGCAAGCTGTAACTGTTAAGAACCTCAATCTCTTCTCCATCCTTCATTGTGGTGCTGCCACTTGGCCTAGTGATGAAAATCTTTGTCTTCTTGATATTGAGCTTCAACCTATATTGAAACTACAGGCCTTGACCTGTGCTTCAGGTCTTTCTCAGTTTCAGCAAGCAAGGTTGTGTCATCTGTATAACAATCCTGATGTCACATTTCTCCTCATAAAGCCTAACCCCCCGAATAATGTGTTCTGCACTTAGATTGACAAGGTATGGAGATAGGACACATCCTGATGCACGCCTTTCCCAATTTTGAACCATGCAGTGTTTCCCTGCTCTGTTTTGAGGACTGCTTCCTGGTCCAAGTATAAATTTCACATAAGCACAATGAAGTGTTTGGGGATTCTCATTCTCCTCAAGGTTGTTAGGTTCTATTAAATCATGTATGACTTGCAGAGACCCTATGAACAACAGATCTGAACCCTGTCCTATCCTGTGCCATTCTTATCATCCCTGACATACTAAAGCCCATTGTCATAGTCACTGTATCAATTCATCTCACTCCTCTCTTTCTTCCTCTCATTTATTGTCCCTTCACCTTTCCAAGTATGACATCTCTTTCCAAGAAATAGCCTCTCTTAACAACATAACCAATGTATATGAGGAAAAAGCTTCATCATAACACTTAAGCAATGATATCAGTTTCAGGACTAAGGTGCACTTGATTCAGGCCATGATCTTTTCAGTCCCTTGCTATGCTGATGACAGGCAGATAAGGAATAAGAATGACTGAAGAAAGTGGAGAAGAGTGAAACAAACAGATATTTCTAGAAAAAGGTGCAGCCAGAGTGCTCCCTGGAGGAAAAGATAATAAAGCTTCATCTCATACACTTTGGGCT